GGGGACTGTGGGGAGATTCTAATCCCCCATGGGGAAGAAGTAGACCCGCAGTCTGGGGTTTCGTCAAGGGTCACGGAATAACGAGACTCGCATTGGACGCCTTTTCATGACCTGGACGCCTTATTGCTTGTCTTGCAGTTTTCCGGCTCTTCTGGGAAAGCTTATAAAAAGCCATCGGTTGCGTTGCATGTCGACAAGGACTGCAGCTTTATCATTCGCCTAATATCGTCGTCATGGATCAATACATCACCCCTCCTGCCCCTGAGAGCTCCTCGGACAACAAGAAAATCTCAGACATGGACAAGATCGAAGCTGTTCGTCGAGTCTCTGACGAAGCCCTAGGCCAAGTCATGGGCTTAGACTTCGAGGGAGAAAAGACAGCCCAGGGCGATGCCTACTTTCATCGTCTGGGCTGGAAACGCCTCACCGTCGTTCTCATCGTCACTGCCGTCGCCCTCGGTAGCCTGAGTCTCCCTGCAGCATACGCAACGTTGGGGATGATTCTAGGAGTCATAGTCACAATCGTCTTCGGATTTGTTGCCATCTACGCCAGCTATATCATCGGCCTCGTCAAACTCAAGTACCCCGAGGCCAAGAGCTATGTCGATGTAGGAACTCTTCTGATGGGGAAGTGGGGTGATGTATTGTTCAGTAGCATCTTTGTGTGCGTACTTACTCTAGTTGTTGGATCACATTGCTTAACTGGCACCATTGCCTTTGTCACCATGACAGAAAGCGATGTGTGTTCACTCGTTTTTGGGGCCATTTCGGCCATCATCTTGTTGATCCTCGCCATCCCACCCTCATTCTCAGAAGTTGCAATCTTGGGCTACATAGACTTTGCTTCTATCCTGATTGCTATCGGAATCACGGTCATCGCCACAGGGGTGCAGTCGTCTGAGCCAGAGAACCCCTGGTCCGCCTGGCCCAAGGAAAACATCAGCCTTGCTGAAGCTTTTGTTGCAATTTCAAACATTGTCTTTGCCTATGCGTTTGCTAGTAAGTCCTTGAAACCTTGGCCACTTGATATACTAACCCAGAATGCTCAGTTGGACAAATATCCTACATGGACGAGATGCATACGCCAGAGGACTTTACAAAGTCCATCTCGACCTTTGGCGTGATCCAGACCACCATTTACACGCTTACCGGGTCCCTCATCTACGTCTTTGTTGGGCAGGACGTCAAGTCTCCTGCGTTGCTTTCGGCTGGTCCCCTAATTTCAAAGATCGCCTTTGGCCTCGCGATCCCAGTCATCTACATCTCGGGCTCTATCAACACAACTGTCGTTGCCCGGTTTATTCATGGGAGAATCTATAAAAACTCCATCGCACGATACATCAATACAGTCAAGGGATGGATTAGCTGGATAGTGGTTGTGACTATCATTAGCCTTGTCGCTTGGATTATTTCTGAGGCGATCCCTTTCTTCTCGGAACTCCTGTCACTGATTGGTGCTCTTTTCGTGGCGGGAACCTCGTTCTATATTCCTCCGATTATGTGGTATTACCTTCTGAGGGAAGGAAAGTGGTATGAAAAGCACAACCTCTGGACGGCGATGGCAAACCTCACAGTGTTCATCCTCGGGGTCACAGTCTTTTGCATCGGCACCTATGCCAGTGTGGTGGGAATCGTGAGTTCACTTCTTGTCACTTTAATACGGCGAACTAATTGGCTTGGTAGATCAAAAAGTTTGATTCAGGCTCTATCAGTAGGCCCTTCTCATGCAGCGTTGGTCGATGAGTTAGTGTCGAGAGTCTCATCATGACTGAGATGTCAAGCGACAGGATCATCTTGCCTCGTATGATCCCTTCGCCAAGGCGAATCGGCTTGGAATATCTGTTCTGTTGGACGGGTAATGATTTCTCGTTCAGAGCTTTTGTAATGAGTGTTGTATGTATACCGTGTAGTCAGTTTATGATACCTCAACTTTCAGATCGACGCCCTCACCCGACATATGGAGGTCAACGTCGTGAACACACTGGCGAGAATGGTGGACCCGAGGCTTGGAAGGTGACTGATTCTCCCGAGAACTACACCGAGCTCCTGAAGGAGGCCATCATTCGAGTCGAGATCAACGTTGAGCGCACGGAAGGAAAGTTCAAGATGAGCCAGGAGGAGCTGGAGACCGTGCTGGCGTCGTTGAGGGCTTTGGAACGGAAAGGGCCCAACAGGCGGCAGATTTTGTGAAAGAACGATAGGAACTCAAGCATGGAAAATAATAAAGCTGAGATTAGCCATGACACGGCGTATATATGTACTCAGGGGCTCGGAAAAATAGGTACTGAACCCTCCAGTGTCGACGTACTTAAAGCTACCTAAGTACTGGGATTAGGAATGGATCGATATATATGAATAGTATCAACTAAGCCCGAATACCAGAAAGCATTTGAGCAACCATAATTCACAAAGTTGTTTGACGTATGCATAGTTTCCAAATTTGCTTTGGTTGAACAGGCCACTCAGCGTGTGTTGCTTGACATTGCGGTCTTGTTCATTGGCGAAACTCAGTACCCGCCAATTTGGTAACCCAAGAGGACATGATAAAATAATCAAAAGGCTTAGAAATGCCAAAACCGTCATCGGAGAACTAAAACCAGGATAACATGTTATCAATTCATTCAAGGGCGCAAGGGTCATCCGTATTAGTGATGAGACCTGTCATCGCCCGTTTGCATCACAATGCACACCGCCATTGCCTCAACAAATCTTTCTTCAAGGTAGCCTGCCACCTCATGCACCTTCATTCTACTTCGGGAAAATTTTAAGCATTCCAGTTTGGCTTGCATCTGTGAAAGTGAATGTCCCTATGTAGCGCCTGCATCAGCCACAACAGCCTTCAGCCTTGTTGGCGCCGCACCAGCCACCGGATGTTCCGATCGGCGGTGGCGGTCGCCAGCCTCGCCTCGACGAGACCGGACTCTCCCCTCTTCAACCTGCCCTGTTCACCTCGGATCAGCCTCCCAGCTGGTCTCATTCTCCCATCTACGAGAGCCGCAGCTTCACCGGAAAGACGCCTTGAAGGGCGCGTCTCGAGAAGCCATGTCGGCCAACTACTGGGAGTCGACGCAACGTCGCTTCTGGCAGTTCACCAAGGATCAGCTGGTAACGATGCGACAGAAACTCGAAGACGACAACGCCGAACTCGTCCGCATGTTTCCGCTCCCGCAGCAGCGTCATCTAAACATCTACTTTAATCAACGTGCGTTCTTCACCCCGGGCTACGTGGACATTGTCGCTGACTTCTCTGCAGAGTTGATACGGTTAGCAAAGCGCCTCACGATCCGACAGCAGTCCATGGCCACGGCCCAAGTCTACATGAAGCGATTCTATTCCAAAGTCGAGATCCGCCGAACGAACCCATACCTTGTCATCGCGACCGCTATTTATCTGGCATGCAAGATGGAGGAGTCGCCTCAACACATCAGGCTGATCGTGACAGAGGCCCGGCAGATGTGGGGAGACCTCGTCGCCATCGACACGTCCAAGCTGGGCGAGTGCGAGTTCTTCATGATCAGCGAGATGCGGTCGCAGCTCATCGTGCACCAGCCGTACCGGAGCATCAGTGCTCTGCGATCTGAGCTATCGCTGGTGGAGGACGAGGTTCAGCTGGCCCGATCGGTCATCAACGACCACTACATGACCGACCTACCCCTTTTATACGCTCCGCATATTATTGCGCTGGTGGCCATCCTGCTGGCCCTGGTGCTTCGACCGAATAATTCGGCACCTGGACAAAGCTCTGGCTCTGCGGCTGCGGCGGGTCTCGCGGCTGCTCAGCAAGCGCTGTTGCGAGCCCAGGGACAGTCTTCACAGACAGGTTTCTCGGATGCCAGCCCTGCGGAGCCCAAGGAGAAGCAGCAGCAGGCTAGAGTATCGCGTGTACAGAGGTTCGCGGCCTGGCTGGTCGAGAGCAATGTAGAGATCGCGTCCATGGTGGACGCCACGCAGGAAATCATTTCCTTTTACGAATGCTATGAGCAATATAACGACAAGCTTACGCGGGAGCAGATCAACCGGTTTGTGAAGGCTCGGGGGTTGGATAAGTAAGCAGGATTTAGCATGGATGTCATGAGGAACGAGACATGAAGCTTTGGGACGGTTTGGGAATTATACATACATAGCATCGATGCGGCGTTTGGGTGTCTCGTGCCAGTTTATACTGTGGCATATAGATTAAGAATGCAACATTGGCATACTTTACGCTATAAGGCTGATGGCTTGGATGGTGTTTGATAAGATCCGAATCCGACTCCATGGTTGAATCGAATCAATCGACGCCACCACCAGCCACGAAATGTCACCGGACTCCAACTTCAAGGTCTTGGTACCTCGGATCTACACAACCAATCAAAGAGACAGGGAATAACTGCAGGTCAGGCAGGGATGGGAAAACGCCTCCGGATCCGACCGCAGGGCATCAATTGAAGAACAAGACGGGCTAACAGCATGTTTAGATGCATGCTAAGCGAATATTTTGGCTTGAAAAGAAATTCGTTCAAAGCCCTTGAGCCGAGACAGAGCGACTTCTCTGCCAGGTCGGCGGGTCCTTCCGGGGCGCTAGACATAATGCAAGGGCTCTGATTGATCGCCGAGCTTCCCTGAATCCCCCGGCGTTGGCAGCGGGAGGGCCTTTAGGGGCCCTGACGCCCTGTTACGGCACCTCAGCTATGGGGCCTCTACGGCATGTGCTCTGTTCTCCACTGCATTGGATTGGATTTCAGGCTCTTTTACCAACGTCACAACCTGGTCACCCTCTCCCGAACCCTCGTCGATTGGCATCCCCATTGGATCTTCAGCTATCTCCCGTCCTCCAGCTCAGCCATGTCCTCTCCGTAACCCCGATAACAATCGCCGTCGCCGTACCTTGACCTGTTCCGCTCTGTCGACGACGACGACGACTACAACTCCTCTTGCGACCGCCCCTCGATCACCTCTCGAACATCGAATCGCCGGACATATACCTCCCGGCGAGATATGCCGCCGGCGCCTCCTTCGTCATGAGTGTGTCCAAGCTGGTTAATGAAGTCGGAGATGGCTTGAGGGAGTCGCAGAACTCGCGCGATGCCCGCGTCGAGGAGCTATGGACGAGCCTCGAGCCCGACAAGACGGGCGAGCTGGATCTCAAAGGCCTGCAGAAGGGGCTCCGGAGGATTGATCATCGTAAGCGAGCGGGAGCTTGAAAGAGATGGACCTCTGCGACGACATGCTGATGGGCCATCGCAGCCATGAAGAACGCCGACGACATGCTCAAGCGCATCATGGATGAGGTGGACAGGAACCGCGATGGAAAGATTCAATACGAAGGTACGCATGCCTCCATCTCCATCTCTACGCCCGAAGTTCCCGATCCTCCGGAGCTCGCTCGGCAGCTCAACCCGCAAGACAAACAAGCAGGCTCACAGTTTTTCTTTACTCTAGAGTTTCGAAAATTTGTCGAAAAGGCAGAGAGGCAGCTCTTTGCCCTCTTCAGGGCAATTGACAAGGATGGAAACGGAAAGCTCGACAAGCTGGAGCTCCAGACGGCCTTTAAGAACGCCGGTCTCACATTGTCGAACCGCCGCCTCGCCGAGTTTTTCAACGACATGGATCTCAACAACGACGGCTACGTCAGTTTCGATGAATGGCGGTTAGTCACACCATTTTCCATATTTTCTGTTTCTTTTTCTTTTTTTTTTTTTCTTTCAAAAAATCTGCCCTGGTCGTCTCCACTGCATCATCTGCGAGTCTCATTCACCCATTCCCCGTCAGATGATGCTCATGGCTACTGACCGTCAGTCATTTTGGCGGGGATAAACCTCATAACGTCATGTGCCAAGCCCGAGCTCGCACCGGATCGCGATATGCTCTGTTCTCGACTGCAGCCCTTCGGCGCTATTCAAGATTTTGTTTCTACCGGATCTCGCCTTTTTATTCATTTGCAAAGCCCAGATCAGTCATTGCAGCCACTCACTAATCATGCTGCCTCAGAAACTTCCTCCTCTTTATGCCCCCCCACGATCACGATTCTCAGCTCCATGCCGTCCTCGACTTTTACTACTCAGTGGTCAGCGTGACCCCAGAAGGAGACACACTTGTGAGCGAGGAAACATTAGAGGGTCTAGGTACGGACGGCTTCCGCTCCCTTTTCTCAACCCTTTTCGGCTCTCTTCTCCGAGTCGCATTCCCCTTCGACGGTTCAAAACCCCCTGCCGACCGGACGATATCTGCCCAACCAGCCGTCCCCTCGATACTGGATGACGAACCCCAAGACGCGACCGAGAACATGGCCACCGCTGCCGCAGTCCCGTACCCCGACTATGACGACCCGGCTACCGAGACGCCGCCGGAAGTGGCCGAATCCCTGTCACAGCTCGTCGGCGATGGCACCCATGGACACACCACTGGAGTCTCAACAGTACACAAGAAGTATAGACTAACAGACTTTGTACCTGATCCAGGCTACTTTGTTGCGGGTGCCATCGCAGGCGGGGTGTCGCGGACGGCTACTGCACCTCTCGATCGATTAAAGGTTTATCTGCTAGTTAATACGACTATTCGCGCCGAGACGGCGGGCGCGGCGCTCAAGCAAGGGCGACCCGTTGCTGCCTTGAAGAATGCTGCGAAACCATTCAGCGATGCTATCCGGGAACTTGTCAGGTCAGGGGGTGTTCGAAGTCTCTTTGCAGGTAGGTCGCGGTAACAGCGTGACGATTGGGTCACAGACGCTGACAAGCCAAGGAAATGGCCTGAACGTGGTCAAGATTATGCCAGAGACTGCCATCAAGTTTGGCTCATACGAAGCGGCCAAGCGGGCCCTCGCCAACTTTGAGGGCCATGGAGATCCCAAGAAGCTCAGCTCGTGGTCCAAATTCACCTCGGGCGGTCTTGCTGGCATGATTGCGCAGTATGTTTCAGTCCGGGTCTTGGATTGATAGTAAACTGACAGCTATGCAGGGCCTCTGTATATCCACTTGATACCCTCAAGTTTCGACTACAGTGCGAAACTGTTAAAGACGGTCTTCAGGGTTTGGCCCTGGTTCGGCAGACGGCCATCAAGATGTACGCAGATGGTGGTGTTCGAGCATGCTACCGAGGCTTGACCATGGGACTGGTGGGAATGTTCCCTTATAGTGCCATCGACATGGGCACATTCGAGCTGCTCAAGAAGTCTTACAAGAACTACTATGCGAAGCGCGACGGTATGCACGAAGACGATGTGAAACCGGGGAATATCGCTACCGGAATCATCGGTGCAACATCCGGAGCTTTCGGAGCCAGCGTTGTCTATCCATTGAACGTGGTGCGGACACGACTTCAAACCCAAGGAACTGCCATGCACCCTGCGACGTACACGGGAATCTGGGATGTAACCAAGAAGACGATCCAACGGGAGGGTTACCGAGGTCTCTACAAGGGTCTAACACCCAATCTACTCAAGGTTGCACCCGCTCTGAGCATCACCTGGGTGGTGTACGAGAATTCGAAGAGAATGCTCGGCTTGAGTTGAGGATGAATCCGACTGGAAGACGACGACTATACACAAAACTTAGGGGGTCTCCCCTGCACTCTCACGAACCGACACTCCAACAAACACGCGCACGCAACTTTCACATTGACATTTAGGCAAGCGGGGAATCTTAGCGGGAGGACGGGCATTGCGTTACGACGGGGGGGAAATATCAAGGCGTTGGGAAAGGGATTGATATATCAGTGGATGAAAAACTAAGCACCACGCCACGAGGTGATGGGATTACCGCCGAACGTTTCTCGGATTTTCTTTGGCGGAGCAGGAGTCGGCGGTTTTTAGAATTGGATGACATACCTTTTTTTTCTTTTTTTGTTGCTCGAGATAGAGGCAGGGCCAAGGCGAGGCTAGGGAGATCTCGCAATCGAAGCTGAGCTTTCTTGATTCCATATCATTGACTGTGATGGATGGTGACGTCTGGTATGGTGCCACGGCTGTGATGTATGCCATGCAAGTCTTAACCTCGGAGGCTCGAGTCCGTTGCAATTTACCAATCCCTCGGCCAATTCATCCTACAGATGGTCTCTCACGGCATAATGCGATGCGATGCGTTCTGCTCTCAATTCCCTCACCGGCCCGCGCCGCGCCGTGCAAAAGTGTGGATCCCCACTCCGTCCCGGCACTTCGGTGCCGAGCGGATGCCCGGGGCGCCGGGGCCGTCGAATGAGGACCCGAACCTGCAAAGACAACACGACATGTATGCATTTTGTGCAGAGCGGGTATTTTTTTTCTTTTGGACATGCTGTGTACATATGCGAGGCTGTCTGAATGTGAGACGACTTGTGGGGAGAGAGAAGAGGGGGTTTCTGGGCGAGCATGGTTCTTATGGGGAGTGATATTTTAAATTTTGCATTTCTTCCTGATTTTTCTCTTGGACTGTCTCATAGATTCGAAAAGCTTGCTTTTGTGTTTGTGTTTGATATGACGACCCAGCACCCTGAGACGGAGATTGTGCCTGATGAGACAGTGGGTGGCTTGTCTGGGCACTATACCATAAATCACTGCTAACTCTGGGAATCGACAGTTGACTGAAGATGGAGAGTCTTCTCTTGGAGAGGTAAGCATTTGCTCATACAATTTAGCGTTGTGCTCATAGAATGCAGGAGACAGTCTCTTCGACTCAGAGTCTGAGTAGCTCCATCGTGGACTATAGACGCGAGAACGGAAGGACATATCATCGATACAAAGACGGGAGTGAGTCAATTAAAACCGCCTATACATTCTTAAAGGATTCAGTCAATACTTACAAGTCTAGAGTATAGCCTTCCTAACGACGAACTCGAAGCCGAACGACTAGGTATGCAGAACATGTAGCAACCGCGAACGCTGACTGACCTAGTCTAGATCTCCAGCATCACCTCTTTCTCCTTACTTTTGACGACAGTCTCGGTCTCGCACCGCCAAATAAGGCCAAGTCAGAGGTCAAGAGGGTTCTCGACTTGGGCACGGGCACGGGAATCTGGGCCATGGACTTTGGAGACGAGCACCTAGAAGCTCATGTAAATCATGCATGCCAAATGTTCTGGGTTAAATATTGAGATGTTGTGAGGTCGTTGGCGTCGACTTGTTGCCTATTCAACCTACCTTGTATGTTCCAATTTCCATCATCAAGAAGTTATGCTGACGTTCCAGTGTGCCTCCCAAGGTCGAGTTCTTCATCGATGATATCGACGAGGAGTGGAATCATTCTGCGCCTTTCGACTATACTCACAGTCGAATGATGACGTCGAGTATCGGAAACTGGCCAGACTATCTCAAAAAGATCTACGAGTAAGCATCTAAACCATCCTATCTTGCTGTTTCTAATACTCTCTAGCAACCTCAACCCTGGCGGCTACGTTGAACTCCAAGAAGCCGACCTCTTCCTCTTCTCAGACGATGGCACCCTCCAACCAACACAAGCCCTCCCCCGCTGTCTCCAACTCATGTACGAAGCCTCAGTAAAACCCGGCAGACCCTACCAAGAGATCCCCCCTCTCAAAGACATCCTCGCAGCAATAGGCTTCATAGACATCGTCGAAACACGACGTAGATGGCCAATCAGCACATGGCCAAAAGACAAGAGACTTAAAGAGCTCGGGGCCTGGAGCAGGGCGAATCTAGAGGGCGGACTTGAAGCGTTTACTATGGCACCGCTTACGAGGGCGCATGGGTGGAATGGAGAGAGGGTGACGCTGTTTTTGGTTGATGTTAGGAGGGAGCTGAATGATACGAGCATTCAAGCGTATTGGCCAGTGTAAGTTTGTCTGCTGTGCGTGTTGATCTTTGCTAATTGTGACAGGTACTCAATCTATGCAAGGAAACCCGAGGTTTAAAAAAGAGTACGTTGCTCAACATGAAGGAAAGATGCAGTTGTCATGACAATCAAGGTTGGTGTAGAGACATGATCAACTCGAAACTTGAGATCTGCAAAAACAGGCCATCAAAATCAAGCAACTCGTCAGCCATTCGCGGCCTTGATGCACGGCTTACGCATCTGTCCGTCGCTTGGGGAGGGATGCAGCTGCGGGGGTGTAGTGGTGTGTGTGTGTGAGTTGATGCATTCAAGCGGCGGGGGGGGGGGACTTTTGTAGGGGAGATATCCATGGAGATAACAACTTTTTGAGAGATTTGAAGAGTCAAGACGGGATTGATGGTTTTGAAGAATTGAAGATATGTGAGAATTATCATGATCATCTTGATACTATTAAATGAGATATATCTATATTAAAAATGCTGTCGTCCGTGGTCATTAAACAGTTGTTGGTCAATCCCTCCAAAACCTCATGCTTACCACCTCCCGCAAACAGCCATAGCGTGATCGGCTACAATCCTTACATGATCAGATAACATCCATTCCCAATCCCCAGCCAACAACCAACTTTTCTACTCTTCCCCTCTCTTATTTCAACCCCAGGATTTCCCTTTCTTTCTCTTGGGGCCACGTATGCTCTCGTGCCACGGCCGCAGCTCGCGCGAATAGAGTCACCCCACTGCCCGTGTGTTCCCAAATCAGCCCTACCAGCCCTACAATGCCCGCTCCGTACTCTGACAACCTCTACTCGGCCGACGATGAGTCCGAGGCCCTATCGCCTACTGATGGTTACTTCCACGCGTCGTCGGCGTCATCACGTCCTCGACCCCTGGTGCCGAATATCCTCGTAGAGGATCCTACCCTTGCGAGCCGCGAGTCCAAGGCGTGGGAGGCCGAGAGGGAGAGGCAGTTATTAAACAGTGACACCGCCGGTGAATCTTCTAGTGGTCATCAGGAGACTACACACATGTCTTCGCCTTTGATTCAGCACGAGGCTCCTCCTGCTTATTCACCTTCTTCGACGACAAATTACTCGACGTTTTCACCAATGGGTCAGGTTCAGGAACAGTTTCCGAGGGGAGAGGAGCAGCAGCCGCTTTTGAATCATGGACCTGAGTCTATGAGTAGTCCTCCTCATGAGGAACCATCACGATGGAATCGAGTCAAGACTTCTGTTGCAAAGACCAACATACGGAGAAAGTTTAGAACCATTCTTGGTACTTTTGTCATTCTATCCGTCATCATCATACTCCTCGGTATTTTCTTTGATGACTCTTCTAATGTTGGTCTCTTACTCCTCATGCATATATAGCTTTGCTAACTCTTACAGTGGGAACCTCCCGACTACATCAACGACGGCCCTATCGGGAGTCACGGCGAGTTCACATGGAATCCCTCACGGATCTGTCTCGACACTCCCCACAACTTCCCCAAGACCACGACGCCCGTGAAATTTGACCGTACGAGTAACCTCGAGATTGTACAGACGGTTCAAAGGGATCGTGGTCATAGAGGTGCAAGACCTCATGTCTCTGGAGAAGTCATCCTGCAACCTGCAAAGGATAGCTCGTCTGCGGCTATTGAACTGCAGGTCATCTCTAATGACAAGAATCTTGGGGTTCATGTTCATTTTGATGAAAAGACGCAGCTGTTCAAGATGATTACGCCGGATACGATAGACTGGGACTCGACTGAAGCACCCTGTATTCAGATCCGTGCAACTATCTGGGTACCTCAAAAGTCCATCATCAAAGCCCTCAAGATCAACACCATTCATCTCAACGTCGACGTTGAGACAGGCTTTGACTTGCAGGTTCTCAAGAGCACTGTAATCCACAGCGCTATTGGACACATCAACACGCCAGCCGTGGCCCCTAAGAAAGCAACAGTGCCTTATACGCTATCATCCCGCGAGATCAACATCCACACAGCCAGCGGAAAAGTCAAGGGATGGTATCCGCTCTACGACCTCCTCGACATTGACACCGTCTCTGGCGACATCACTGTAAACGTCGGACCAAAGCCAGCAGAAGGTGCAAAGCCAGCTTCCCTCCATGTGCACTCTGCTTCTGGACAAATTGAAGTTTACGAACCTTTGAGTCAACCCAAGGATTCACTCCCGCCTCGGGATTACATCGTCATCGTCGGTACGGCATCCGGAGACATTACCGCCGACGTAGCAGCAAGTTCCCACGCAAGATTCGAGTCTCAATCCGGTGATTTCAAACTCCGCATCCTCCCGGTTCTAGACTCATCAACAACCCCAGCGTTGGAAACAGACACAAAGAGCGGAACCTCTCAAGTAACAATACTAGAACCCTTCTGGACAACCGCGACTGGCGATGAGACACCGGCCTTGTCAGCTCTCAAGTCCAAGCACAACTCCATCAGCGGAACCATCAAGCTCCAGTACCCATCGTCGTGGGAGGGCCACGTCTCTGCGCAGACGGTCTCGGGGTCTCAAGACGTCCGCGGGCGAGGGTTGGAGGTGACGCACGAGGGCGGGCCGTTTTCTCGACGCACCCGGGGACGCAAGGGAGAAGGAAACTCGCAGATGGAAGTGATTAGCGTGTCTGGGGACGAGTATGTCTTGGTGGGTGAAGAGTGATGAACTGAGCATTAGGCGTTGGGCGGAAAAGGTAATGATTTGTGTGCAAGGCTTCCCAAGAGGGGCCAGATGAACCCGCTCGTTAGAAAGGATCGAGATAGCAATATCGCTCGTTGATGATTAATGGATTAATGAATGAGAAGAGAGGACACAAATGCATGCCTGCCTGCCTGCCCAGGGATTTGTTGGTCTTAGCTCTCTGCATCCAATGACTAGGTGCTGCTGTCTAGGCCAGCCCAGTGGAGAGAGAGGTACGGTAGGGTAAGGATTCCTTCTGCATCATGGCACCCATGGATTTGACACGAGTCACGAGTTCTGCAAGCATCGTCTTATAGTATTGGGTCGACTTACCGTACATATACATATACCTTACATCCATACCCAAGTACATACATGTGCCTACACCTACATCATGCAGCGACTACGTGGAAGAGTCTAATTACTTCGCAGCCCAAGCACGGCCTGGGTGATATGACAGTGCCAATGGCCCTACGGATACTTGTCACGGCATGCACAAGACACAAGCACAACTGGTTCAACAAGATGTGAATGCATTGCACAGATTCAAGATCAAGATTGAGTAAAGTTGAGAGTCCAACCAGTTCATGCGGTGATCCAGAATAACACATCTCTATCCTTATGTATATATAACCACCTGATCCCTTGACCATGAACTCGAGATAAATACACAACAGCCAACATAAAAACACAAGTGCCAACCTTGGGGGTAACATGAAATAAACCGACACAGAGGGCATCATCAAATGTGTCCAAGCATGGGGGGTATCCGCAGAAAAAAAGAAGAGGTGAAGAAAATCAGAACATATCGTCGTGACGCGTTGCAATAGAGAAAAGAAAATCGTTGCATATTGTCGAAGCACAGTCGTCCGTCCGTCTGGCGAGGCGAGATGAAATGAAGCGTTGTTTTCTCTCGCCTTCTTTTCCATGACATGCAGTCCGAGGTGACATTGACAGAGGACCCCGGAATCACTCCGGACGGTGACATTAATTGGAGATCTGCAGGCCAACGGTCGGATCATCCATCATAAGCCAGGGCAAGTCTCTCGTCCCGACGTTAGTGCAGGTTAGATACGTGATGCTGTCGGGGGTCCTTGAGGTTCCGCCCATGTCGAGCTCGAGGTTGCTCCCCATCAGAGGTCGGACGACTTCTCGAGCCATGGCCTTGAGCTCGTCGAGCCTCTTCTCGAACCGACGGAGGTTCTCTCGGCTGTACAGCTCCGGTGTCAACTTGAGAAACCTCTTGCACTCATCATGCCCGAGAAAGGCCGCGGGATTATTCGAGCCAAGGGTGCGGTATGCGCGACCGACAGAAGTCAGAGGCGGGGCGGCAGGGGGAAGAGTGGCGACGCTGCGGCCTCCATCGCGAGACGTTGGAGGTGCTGCGGCTGCTGTCCGCCGGCGTTGATCGGGCTGCGGCTGCTGCTGCTGCTGCGGCTGCGGAGAGGTGTTGTCAGCCACCCATTGGCGGAACAGGCTCACGGCCAGCCAGTCTAGATAATTGTTGCTTGGGCCGACACGTTCGCCGCGGCTGTTGGTGAGCCCGATCCGGAAGAGACGCCCCTCGACCCGGCCTACCGTCTCCTCGAGCTCCTCCACCTTGTCCTCGATTATGTCCAGCACCATGTCGGGCAGGGCTGCCCGCAGGCTGCGCTCTCCCATGGGCCACTGCCCGACGACGTGGATCAGCGCCTCCTGGAAGATGACCCTGCTTCGCGCTAGGAACCCCAGCCGCAGGTAGGAGATGGGGTATTTGGCGATTTGCTTCCACAGACGGGACTGGAACTGGAGCATGTGGTGGTCGACCCGCGGTCCCACCACTGCCAGGGCGTCGTACTGGTCCGCAAGGTTGAGGAGGCTCTTGCATTGCACATATGCATCTGCGACGTTGACCCCGTCTAGGTTGGGCGGGTAGTTGTAGAAGATCCGGAAAAGGTTGTCGTAGTCGCGGAGGAGGTCCTCATCGGCCTGGGAGAGCGTGGGGGCTGGAGGTTGGTTTGAGGATAGGCTGAGGTTGGCGACGGAGCGGAAGAAGCCATTCGCGGTTGTCGAGTTGGAAAGCGATCGAGAGTGCGAATGTGAGAGCTTTGTGCGGGCGAGCGAAGATCGTGACTCTCGAGAGTTGACTGTGGGTGGTGCCGAGGCAGGTCCAAAGATGGACTGATTGGATTCTTCTCGTTCGTCTCTCTGAACCAGCATGGGTATGTCATTGGGACCTGAGCCTCGGTCCAGCTCATATCTCCATCTCTTCCTGGGCGGCGTCGCACCTCCCAGCAGGGACGACGAGGTGCCATCGTCGCTACCATTGAGGCTACTGCCGTCCTCGCCGATGCGGGACAGCTCGTTGCCAGCAGGCAGAGCTCGGGCGCGGGACCACTCGTTCGAAGTGCTGGCCTCAAAGAAACCGCTGGAGCGCGTCAAGGTATGGCGATGAAGAAGGTAGCGATTCTGAACGGGCGCGGCGCCGGGTGCGGTTTCTCGGGCGGTGATTATGATCTCGACGTCGCCGCTGCTCGCAAATACGGGAAAGTCATTCTGGGGCGCGTAAGAGGTTCCGCCGGCGTGGGAGCGATTGTAGCGCTTCGTTCGCGAGATGGATTGACGAGAGACGACGGACGACGGACCGCGGCGGGAGAGCGACGACGAAGCCGGCGGCTCGAGTGTGGAGACCATGAGTACGGTCGGATGCGGATGCGCAGCGCAAAGTGCAGCGGGTTGTTGATTGTGATGTAATGTTTGTTTGTTTGTTTAGCTTGCCGAACTAGACTCGAGGGATAAAAGAGGATTGCGGAGAAGGGGAGTTAGAGGAGAAAGAATAGATAGAGTGATTATGGCGGGAGGCGAAGTCGGTGGTGGGTTCAAGTTAGTCAGGCTGGATGTATCACATGGGATCCATCCGCTGGAGGTTTGTTATTGTCGAGGAGAGTGATTGATTGATGCGCAGACTTCATTCAGGCAGCTTGAGGTTGAGTGTCAAGAGAGACAATGTTTTGCGGGAGTGACCGAGATGAGACGAGACAATGATGAGAAAAAAGAGGAGGATGTGCAAAACAAATAAACAGAATGTCTGGCACTAAGAAAGACAGACACGACGAGACGAGACGAGACGAGACGGATGGACTGGAAAAGAGGTGCTGCACGGAGATGCAGAGGGAGGGTTGCAGAGAGGAGGAGTGACAAGGATGGGGGCGTGAATACCTAATGGATGGGTGGAGGTAGAGGCCGTGGCACGAGGACACGGCAAAGGAGGGACAAAGGGGACAAGAGAGTCTTTAATGTCCAATCCATATCAACATCCATTACCCATCCCATGCATAGTCATAGTCATAGTCATTCCCATGCGTGCCTAACTTTGGATGCAGACAGAGCGGAGAGTGCTTTATTCTGTCACGCCCTAGTGTTCCAAGAATGAGCTATCCACCACTTCACCACTGGCTGCCTCTGATTGTGCCTTGTGCCTTGTGCCTCGGAGACAAAATCACGCCCCCTTGTAGACCAGGATGTTAAGTGCCCCCATGTTCTGTTACCGACGACTCGGCCACCGTTGGGAATCCATGGATTTTACGGAAACACACACCGCGTTCTTTTTCTTTTACTCTCTTCCATAAATAATACGCCCTGCAATTATTCCCCTGCATGCTTTCACTCTAGACCCGCCACTGACGTACCTACCGTACCTCTCACGCTGCACACTCGAGTCACTCATTCACCCACGCCAAGATTACTCCATCCCAAACCACAAGGAAACTCAAAAACCCTCAGGAGCCGGGGAGCATGGGTCACTTTTACTCTTTGACTGTAGTAATTTTGCTCGGCCTCACCGCCTTGGCCAGATGACCGACTCTAATACAACCTCAAGTCAATTGATTGATTGCACGAACCATCTCCACTGATCGTCTGCTGCCCCATTCTCTCGTCTAAATCTATACATCTGCTTTGCATATTCTATTCTCATTCTAGTCAAAGATGAATGTAAATCCAACTCTTTAAATTTCCAGCCCAATTCTTCACCATGCCTGACTCCACATCCCAATCATCAACGCCCAACCCCGTCCAACAAATCAGAAAACGCCAGAGAACAGAGAGTTCATACCCAAGAAGACGCTCAGTCACTGCCTGCACTGTTTGCCGCGGCCGAAAGAGCAAATGCGACAACAAGAGGCCATCATGTAGTTTCTGTCTCAGCGTAGGCGCAACCTGCGTTTATGAGGAGCTGCGTTCGGATTTTTCCAAGTACGAAATCTGGATAAGAGACGTGGACTTGTAACTGAATGTCGTAAATAGTTATGATTCGGCAAGTTTGCACATTATTAATCGGCTTGATTATCTGGAGAGGCGTATGGAGGAGCGCTTCGATGGACTTGCAAGTCAAAGGTGGGTTAATCACATACATTCGTGGCTAAGGTAGCTAAATGGTCTACCAGAAACGGCATGCCTGAGGAAACCTTTGTAAAGCCCTCCGTCTTTCCTACAGCACAGTATCCAGCTGCAGAAGGAATCCTCGAATGGCCCGTCTTTGAGGGACTTGGACTACAACTCCACGGTCGATCTCTAGCTTTGATACACCAAGACAACCACCAGTTTCCTTCCAATCCAGGGGCCTCACCCGTCGATTCAAGAAGTCATGGCCAAATGCAAAGCTCAGCCGGTGCGGATATTTTCAAAGATGCCCTTCCAAGCTCTTTAGTCATCGAATCAGCCATAAAGGATTTTCTTGCCAATGTCCACACCAAGAATCCCATTCTGGACCCGACAACTCTCGCTGAGGCTGCTAAGGACTGTATTAAAAATGGTATTGGGAACTCTGTCCAGGCTGCCCTCGTTGTAAGTACCTTTTTCAAACTCAACTCGTTTCTTTGTCACTTACAGTTCAAAGCTCATTGCGTGTGCCCTTGGAATCATCTCGGCACCCTACACGCCCTCAAGCTTTGATAAGTATTCCCCAGTGAGCCCTAATAAAGTTGGCACTTCAAGACAACTGGGAGAAAGCTGCTTCGCCAGATGTCGAACAATACTCAGTAATCAACCGCTGTCTTTGTTATCGACGCAATGTCACTTCTTCTGTGGCGTGTATGAGATGTACTCGATCCGGCCAGTCGATGCTTGGCTGCAGTTTAGTCAGGCAAGCCTTCAACTGAAACTGCATATCCAGTCGAGATCTTTCTCGCCCAACGAGTTTCAGACAGACGAGGGACGGCTGCTTCAAAGGCTATACTGGTCTTGTATGCAGTCAGAATGGTATGTTTTCTAACTCATGAACAATATATAATATCTAACCCTTCCAAGTGAATTAGCAAACGAACTTCGCGTGACGAGTTCCGGACTCGAAGATCTCCCATTCCCCTACGCCTTTCCGCATCCTCCAGAATCTTCCACTTCCCCTGCCGAGTTGGGTGATGAATCACCTGGGAATCGCTCCCAGCTGAACAGTTGGATGTATTATCTCTCAGAAACGTCGTTGCGACGAATCGGTAATGAGATCATCTGGAATCTGTATGACCAGTCGCCCACAGCCTGGATGAGGGACATTGTCACTACGCAGAGACAAGCAGAACAGCTTGACCAGAAAGTAACAGCTTGGTAGGCGACACAATGGTATTTGTTTTCGAGTAGCCACTGATTTTGGGATCATAGGGTTAACAACCTACCCAAAGCTCTTCGGGTTGAAGAACCGATATTCGAGTCAAGAAACGAGCTCGGTCTACACGTGAGAAGTCGCTACCTCACAAGCCAAGCCTGGATCTTTCAACCATTCCTCTACTTCATGATCCACGCACCCCAAACCGAGATTCTCAAGCACAGAAAAGACATTGAACCTCTGGCGTTTACCTGTCTGGAAGCCTCAATGGGGATGATCAACGACGCGACCCACCATCATCGACACCACGGAACTTGGTACACGGCTCGCATCGCCTTTGGAGCTGCCTTGTGTCTCCTTGCTGCGGCGAGGGTGAATTCTATAGCTATGCCGCCGGGGTGGAAGGCTTCTGTTCAGCAGGCGATGCATGTTTTGAGTCGTTGGAGCCCGGAGTCGAGGAATTTGCAGGTTAGTCTTGAGATTCTGAGGGCGGAATGGGATGCGGTGAGCGAGTAGCTAGTAGGGGAGGTGAATATCTCTTGAATATGGAGCTATAGATATATATTAATACCCTGGGCTGAGTATGAAGCTATGCCGTCACTGTTCTTCTTGATACTGTGCCCGAAGGCCCTTGGCGACGTCATTGATGCCAATAAAGTCAAGTTGTCGTCCTATCGTAGCCCATTCAACCACGCTCTACTCATCCGCCTTGGACAAGTCCCTCTCATCAATGTGACTGACATCTCCAAGCTCAAGTTTCGTGGCCTCTCTCGCAGCCCCAGCAACATCCTGTCCATCAAACAACTCACTAATCTCCTCCAAAGAACGGCCTTTCGTCTCAGGAAGAAGGAACCAGTTCGCAACAACAGAAACAGCTGTGATACAGCAGAAGAGGATGTAGTACCGCCAGCCAATAGCATCAAGTGCGATAGGGTTTACAAAAGACAAGACCACAAGTGAGCCATACACAATACCAAGCTCAAGACTTAAGCCCTTGGACCGGATTGAGTACTGTAGAATCTCGGTTGGATAAGCAAAGACAAGAGGGGTGTATGCCAAGTCGTAATGGAAGAAGTAGACAAAGATGAAGACAATAACTGCGACTCCCAGTCCGCTCGAGTTTTCGATAGTGAATCTGGCTGAGCATATGGTCCAGATGACGAATGAAATGAGCATGCCGGTACCGGACCAGTTCCAGAGAGTTCGTCTACCAAGACGGTCGACTAAGAATGCTGCGATGATTGCGGCGACAAAGTTGAAGAGTTGGAGGAGACCGTTGATCAGTGTCTGAGTGTCGGGGTCTTTGACTCCGACGGTGTCGAGAACTAGAGTAAGGTAGAACGAGACGACGCTGTTACCCTGTTGCACATGTTAGCCTGACTTTAACCTAGGAGATAATCTAGCTACTTACAACCCACTGAGAAAAGAAGCCTAGTAGACAGGTGATCAAGGTTCGCTTCCTATTGCCAGGGGTTGCCACAAGGGCGGTCCACTTGACACCTTCGGCTGCCTTGTCGATCTCGAGAGCTCTGGTGATCTCGTTCATCTCAAATGTGACAAGGGGGTGGTCCTCGTCGCCGCCCGTGTGGAATGTCGCGAGAGTAGCCCTGGCCTCGTTGCTTCGATCGTTTGCGATAAGCCATCGGGGAGACTCAGGGAGCTTCCACCACTAAAGAGCACATTAGCCTCTTGTCTCAGTCGGGTTCAAGTTGTGGAACTTACAAATAGGAGCTGGAGGATTGGAAGACCACCTTGCAAGATGGAAGGGCCTCTCCATGCCCAAACACTGTCCGGCATGTGCTTTTGCAAGCCATAGGTGCTCCAAGCAGCAATAATAGACCCAAAGTAGTAAAAAGTCCAGAAAAGAGCCGTGTAGATACCACGATGAGTAGGATAACACAACTCAGATATAAGCATCGGGCTCGGCTGGATAATGGTAATTGCACCCACACCCACTAACACTCGTGAAGCTACAAACATGCCATAGTTGACCGCAGCAGCTTGGATGACCGAAGCGAGAGTGATGACGACACCACCGAGGAGGAGCGTCTTCTTTCTGCCGATCTTGTCGGAGAGGAGACCGCAGAGAGGCAGGGCGAGGATGGAACCGAAAGATTGGGCGGCGTTAACGAAGCCTAGAGTGTGACCTTTGGGATTGTTGAAGTCGGTTTTCCATGATGGAAGTGCTTGGAGTCCGTTCATCAAAGAACCTGGAGATGTTAATGTTAGAACGGAATGAGTTTGGTATAGGAGAGTTACCGTCAAAGCCGGCCACGGAGGAGGACATGAGTGGGATCAGGAGTAATAGATTGAGCTTCAGGAGATGTGGAACGCGATACCAAGGCTTGGAGTCACGGGGAAGCACTTCTGTTAAAGCATGGCCCGAAGGCTCGTTGTTCTTCTTAAGGCCCATTGCGTAGAGATGCTGGCTGAAGATTCGAGTGTTGAATATTCGTCTGAAGGTGCAGCAGAATGTCTATTATATCTGCAACATGCATGCGGGGCCCCACTGTTGTTACCCCAGCTCCCCCGGGTTAGATTTTCGCATTATACTGTCTTGTAAGCTCGAGTGTTGGTCCAGAAACCTAGCTTTGGTTCGAGGAGAGTCGGCAAGCAATGACTTGGACTAACATCCTCCTCGGGGAGAGTCGGCAAGCGTCTTTTGACCCCTGACAGCCCAATAGGAGCTCTGAGATCGCCGTTCGTGATCCTAGCACCTTGGTGGATCTCTGTTCGGGGAGCGTCGGCAAGCAACACCATGCTAGGAGCTACACTACCAATGTTGCGAATAAGGGCTTGATATTTGAGGCAAATGAAGAAATTTATGTGGGGGACCCCTTGAAGTGATTCCTTGACTATCAAGTCACAAGGTCTGGAAATCCTTTCGATAAAATGTGACCCCTTCCATCTCCCACCACTTCGGACAGAACTAGCCCGAACCAACTACTCCTTCTTCAAGCCTTCAAGCTGCATAGTCTGCGCAAATAAGATTACTTCTCAGTGAATGAGAGTATTGTTTGGTAGCTTGTGAGAAGGTCTCATTGACAACTTAACACGCACCCCCTATTCGTACCCTCAGCTACGTTACACCATGGGCAGCCTGCATTTTACAACGCCGTCCCGGGAGAAACTTCTCCAAGACATGACCACTAGCGAAAAGATAGCCTTGCTATCAGGTAGTAGCACCTTGTACTATCTTTTTATCTTCACTAACAGACTAATAGGTGTTGACTTTTGGCATACGGCTGGCATCCCACACCTCAACCTCCCCAAACTTCGCATGTCGGATGGCCCAAATGGCGTTCGGGGCACCAAGTTCTTTGACAGTGTTCCAGCTGCCTGCCTACCTTGCGGGACGGCCTTGGGTGCGACGTGGAGCAGGGAATTGATGAAGGAGGCGGGAGACTTGATAGTTCGCGAGTGTCATGCCAAGAGTGCTCATGTTTGGCTCGGGCCTACGGTCAACATCCAGAGGTACGTCAACGAAGGGCATCAACCAACATCTGAAAGTTGTTGACAAGGGTGAACTTACAGAAGTCCCTTGGGAGGACGAGGATTCGAGTCCTTCTCTGAAGACCCCCTTCTCAGCGGGATCATGGCCGGTGCCGTAATCTCAAGTGTCCAGAAGGGCGGCATCGCATCATCTCTGAAGCACTTTGTGGCGAATGACATGGAACACGAGCGAACTCTCGTAGACTGCCGCATTAGTCAACGAGCACTGCGTGAAATCTATCTCCTCCCTTTTCAGCTGGCCATCCGGGATGCCAACCCCTGGGCCCTCATGACGGCGTACAACAGGGTCAACGGCACCCACATGTGCGAGAACGCCGAGATACTCCAAGACATCGTCAGAAGAGAGTGGAACTATGATGGTTGCATACTTAGCGACTGGTTTGGAACGTACTCGACAGTCGAGGCCATAAACGCCGGCTTAGACCTTGAGATGCCAGGTCCAACTGAATGGAGAGGCAAAAAGGTGTCGACTGCCATGAGTGTGGGCAAGATAAGCAACGACACAATCAACCAGAGGGCATCTTCTGTCTTGAAGCTTATTGAGAGGTGCTCCAAGTCGGGGATCCCAGAGTCGGGCCCCGAGATTTGTCTTGACTCTGAGAGTGGCCGCGATGTCTTGAGGAGGTTGGGATCTGAAAGTATAGTTCTTCTCAAAAATGAGAGAAACATTCTGCCTCTAGACAGCGCAAAGAGTGTAAGTTTGCAAGGTCTTAATAGTTTCTCGCTTGATGTTAATAAATACGCAGCTGGCAGTCATTGGGCCCAACCTGAAGAAACCCTTCTTCTGCGGCGGAGGATCAGCATCACTCCGCCCTTACCGCTCAGTATCCATCCTCGAGGGACTAAACGCCCAATTAGAGAAGCCAGTTCAATATGCTGAAGCCTGGCGGATCTACAACATGCTGCCAGTTCTGGGGGATCTAGTCCGGAGTCCAACGAGCGGGAAGCTCGGCCATTTCTTGATGAGCATCTACAGCTCACCGCCATTGGAGGACAAGCACACTCTGCTGGAAACATTCGAACTTGATGACACAAATGTTGTCCTATACGACTATAGCAACGCTGCTACCCCTGACAACGTTCTCTTTGCTACCATCGAAGCCGATTTTGTGGTTGAGCAAGCCGAGACGTATGCATTTGGCCTCACGGTTGCCGGTACAGCCAAGTTATACCTCGATGATAATCTCATCGTTGACAACGCAGAGAAGCAGATTCGAGGAGAAAGCTTCTTTGGGTCGGGTAGTGTGGAAGAGATTGGGTACACTGAACTTGAGGCTGGCAAAGTGTACCGTCTTAGAGTCGATTTCGGCAGCGCTGCAACCTCCAACCTCAACAAAGCCGGAGCACCAGTCTTTGGAGCTGGCGGTGTACGCATTGGTTGTGCCCCTTGCGTTGATCAAGGATCGGATCTTGACAAGGCCGTGGAGCTGGCAAAGACAGTGGATCAAGTTGTGCTCTCTGTTGGCTTGGGCCCTGAGTGGGAGTCTGAAGGTTCAGATCGTACTGAACTTGGACTCCCTGGACGACAGGCCGAGTTGATATCAAGAGTATGCGCCGTCAACGGAAACGTTGTCGTTGTCATCCAATCCGGCACTCCTGTCTCGGGACCATGGAACGAGGTTCCTGCTGTGGTGCAGGCGTGGTATGGCGGCAACGAGAGCGGCCACAGCATCGCCGATGTTCTCCTGGGCAAAACAAGTCCATCTGGGAAGCTGCCACTTTCTTGGCCAATGCATATCGAGGATACGCCTGCTTTCCTCAGCTACAGATCTGAGGCTGGAAGATGCTACTACACCGAGGATATCCACGTTGGCTACCGTTTCTACGAAAAGACCAAACGACCTGTTCAATGGCCGTTTGGACACGGTCTCTCGTATGCTTCTTTCGAGCTGGATCACTTGACATTGACCATGGATGGATCCGGCCTTGACAGTCAGTTACACATCTCAGTCACTGTAACCAACACTTCCACCATAGACGGCAGCGAGACCTGCCAGGCCTACGTGAAGCGGATCAGCGAGTCAAAGGTCTCGCGACCCATCAAAGAACTGAAGGGATTCACCAAGGTCTTTGTTCCGGCTGGAGAGACAAAGTTGGCTTACATCACCATCCCTCTCAAGTATGCCACGAGTATCTGGGACGAGACGTCGGGGACTTGGTTGATGGAGAGCGGGAGCTTTGAAGTGTTGGTTGGGAATAGCAGCGCACTTACTCCGCTGTCAAGTCTTTTTCACGTGGCGACCTCTTTGGAGTGGAAAGGCATATGAGAGCTAGAGTTAGATAGGATATTGATGAATAGATGAATCCGAGAAAGCCAACGTGTAAGAGGAAGTCAGGATAGCCGGTGGTGATAGCGGATGAGCACTAACAATACAGCGGCCCCACCATCCACCCCCGCCGGGATTCGCAAACCCGACCGGACCAACCTCCAGTTCCGAGATCACCACTTTTTTTTTAAAACCACGATCTTCAGCTTCGCACTCCCTGCCCGAACCAATTGCTATCTCGTATGGCCAATCACGGCTCAGAGCTCCCTCGAGGAATATGATGGAATGACTACGGCAGCTCACGTCTTTCACCATGCCCCTCGGCCCATCTCCATCGCCGAGTTTAGAGATGCCGTCGACGCTGTGTGCCGACCGCGATTCCCCGCGGCCCGGTCTGCCAGGCCTCAGCGCGTAGGCATGTTGCTCTACGACGTTTAATTGAGTGTCTGTACTGATTAATGGGCTAGTTCTGGCCATCAGCGGAGGCGTTGATTCTATGGCCCTCGCCTATCTCACCTCTCGCATGCTCCAGACCTTCCGCCGCGCAAAGATCGCCGACAATCCTGCCCACGGCGCCCTTGCCGTCGTCATCGACCACAGACTGCGCGATGAGAGCACCGAAGAGGCTATGCAGGTCGCAAAGGAGCTGAGGAAGCTCGACCTCAAGACCACCGTCACGGCACTCGCCTGGAAGGAGGAGAAACGCAATGGTCTCGATCCCCGCAAGCTCCCGAACCTCGAGGGACTTGCTCGAACGTATCGATACCGAGCTCTCGGGAACCACTGCAATTATCAAGGCGCTACGAGTCTCTTCTTTGCGCATCATCGAGACGACCAATACGAAACGGTTTTAATGCGATTGCTTGGAGGACATGGATATCGAGGGCTACAGGGGATACGGGAGGCAAACTCGATCCCCGAGTGTTACGACATGCACGGTGTATACAAGAGCGGTTTGATCGATGACCAGCGTAATCAGTCCCCCTTTCTCAGTTTTAGGCCGCCTATACGGGAAATGAGGCGCCTACGATCCATATTTCGAGACCAGAAGAAGGCCGAATCATGGGACGGCTTCAAACCCTTTGGCGGAACAGAACTTATTGAGCGATACCCGGGACACAATCCTACGGAAAGGGAACCTAACCGGCCCTTTCTCAAGCCGCTGGAGATCGAAGATGGAGGGGTCACGATTTACAGGCCGCTGCTTGAGTTTGACAAGGATAGGCTCATCGCCACCTGCGAGGCAAACAATATCCCCTGGGTTGAGGACCGGACTAACAAGGATCCTACTCTGACGACACGGAATGCCATCAGATACCTGGTCCGGAATCATGAGCTCCCGAAAGCTCTGCAGAAGCCTGCTATCCTAGCCTTGGCCGAAAGGGCAAAGCGAAGAACCAAGCTTGAAGAAGCTGAAGCGCATCGCTATCTCGTGCGAGAAGCCATCATCAAGGATTTCGACCCAAATGCTGGAACTTTGTTGATTCAGTTTCCCAACTCACGTCCTTTCAAGGGGCGGCGCAAGAGGCGATCATTGAGTCCAGAGAATGAACTACGAAAGGAGCATCGGAGACTCATTATGGCTATTGCAGTTCGGAAGCTGATAGACTTTGTCACTCCCGAGTATCATTTACCACCACTGGCTAACCTCGATAACGTCGTGAATCGACTCATCCCTGACCTGGCTCCTAACCCGAGCCCATCCCCCCCAAAGGCTTTTGCCATGTCCGGTGTCTTGTTTGATCCGATAGTACAAGGAAACTCAGTCAAGTGGCTCCTCTCCCGAGCTCCTTACACATCCAATCAACCTCTACCTATGGCAAAGCTGTTTGGAGTTCTGGACCATCGTGTTCGCTTCGACAAGGAGGAGGCCAAGCAGATTGCCGAGGCCAACCCTGGGTCCCGCATCATGGGCTGGAAGAGGTCCAAGATGTTTGATGGCCGCTACTGGGTTCGGATCGGATACAACAATCGCCCTTTGTTTCTTGTGCAGCCTTATCGAGCAGAACATGCCAAGGCTTTCCGTAAGGCGCTACCCCCCATGCGGAGGGCTCGGCTTGAAAAGCTGCTTAAGCACTACGCACCGGGCAAGATCCGATATTCCTTGCCGGCCATGTACGGCGTGGAACGCGAGAGGGATCACTACTCGCAGCATGTGACAACTACGTTGACGCTACTGGCGCTACCGTCGCTGGGCATCCATATCCCCGGTCTGGAGCGGTGGGTCAAGTATGAAGTTCGGTACAGAAATGTCGACAAGACCCTGCTGGGACATCACCCCAGGGGAGAGAGGACGTCTCATTCGTATTACCGGCCGCTGTTTGGGCCGGCGCGGAGACAGAGGTTGAGGTTGATGGGCAAGCATGGACCTCGGCGATGATCATGTACAACATGTATGACTATGTAGCATATGGAGACTAGGATACCCTCGGTTTGTAAATTATGCATGGATTTGAGACCAGGTAGTGATTATGAGGTGCATGTGGGATATGTCAGAGAGTCAGTTGGGGTGGACAAAAGACGTCACTTGACAGGGCAGACGGAGGGACGTGTGACTAGACAAGAAGCCGTGTTGTTTCTTCGCCTCAGAATAACTCATCTGTGAAAGGCAAGCCCTATTGTAACGTCAATCTACCAACCCAGGTGAATCAAATTCCCAACATGACTGCACTTTCGCAGGGCTGTCAACCCTCACCGAATGATTGGATCAAATCTCCCATCGTCGTCCAAAACACCACGAAAAATACGTTCAAAAATACCAAAGTATGCCATTAAAAAATAGCATCAAACACTCATAGTGCGTGACTCACCCCTCGCAATGACTCGTTTAATTCGCTGGCTCCAATCGGCTTGCCATCCAAGCTCCGCTTTGAGTCATCTCGTGACAACGTCAAGAGTCGACCTTTTACTTGACGTCTGAAACCAATACCCTTGATCCTTGAATGGCATTGGCTGAGGGTAAAAAAGATGTCTGTGTGGTTGGGCTAGGTAGTGAGGCGAAGCTCTGTTTGGGCAGCGGTCCATGTAAGCCCGTGAATGAGGTGAGGGTAGCCCTATGAACCGCGGTGACGACACATGATTTCTTGGGAGAGGGAAAATTTTCTTATATAAATAATAAATGAGATGGGTGTTCTTCTGTTTTAGAAAATCAAGCTCTGGCTTCATTCTTTGGTTGTGTTTCGTTTCTCTTTCCAAGTCAGCATGATTCTCCAAGCCCCGTGTCAGTTCCTCCGTCTCGGCCGAATAAATAAGCAAAGACCGGCCAAGGAGGAAATCATCAGCCCTCTCTTACTGCTGCCTAGTCCTTCTCCTTTTCTCTTGTCCTTTCTTTTTCCTCTCTTTTCCCCACCGAACGTAACAAGACCTGCGTCCTGCTTCCCTTCCGAGAACCTCCTCGTCCATACCCAATAGCCAGACTCGTTATGAAATATCGCTGATATGCTTGAACCGAAACCTCCACCATTTGACAAAATATTTGGATGATACCATGAATCATTCTGCCCTTCCCATGCTTCCTCCATGTATCCCGGGTTACCGGGCACTAACCTTGGTAGATCCCCCCCGACCGAATGATATGCCACCCATGCCACGGGACCCCCAGGATGAACGCGACGAACCGATGAAATGATGAAACGCAAACGAGAATCATGCCTGCTTGATTGAAAGCCATAACGTAATGAGTTGCCCGGCACCGAACCCGGGTTCCGAGACCGATCGCCGGCCGAGACGGAACTCCACCGGACGGAGAATAAGTGGGCATCGGCCCCGGATCGACGACGGACCGTTGACGTGAAACGTATAAGAGCCACCGAGAAGGCTACCGGTAATATCCCTGCGGGCCACGATCTCGACCGGACAGACGACGACGATGCGAACGATTGACCTCGGCTTCCACCACAACCTCTTCCTCTTGACCTGGTCGCCAACCAGCAGGGTAGAGATTTGGAATCTGCGGAACCTCGTGAAACCTCTTTGCCCATTGGAACACCTCCTCAGAGATCAACCCATGTTGATAAACATGATCGAGAAAGAAAAAGTCAGGCCGCATCTGCTCCCTCGAACATCCATGACGAAAATGCCCAGCGATATGTCTCATGCGCTCCCGAAAGCACACCTCGCGATCCTCACGACTTTTCGAAACGGCCTTGAAGCGCGGTACGTCGTTGCAGAACCAGCACATGCTGACGCGGGGAAGGATGTTGTTTAAATGGTCGTCGACAATGTGTGAGATCCAACTCTCCTCATCGTCAGGGTCAAAGAGGGCGTCACATGTTTGGAAGCCAACGAACTCGCAGACGAGGAGGGATGTCGTGGGTAGGGATGGACGTTGTCGATGTGGTGGAGGAGGACCGTGAGGAGGAGGGGCAGTGGAGATGGATGTGCTGGTTTGGAAGCAAGACGACATGTATGTTGAATTGCTCCTGATGGACCTGTTGAAACTGCGAGGGGAGGATATGGCAGTGGGCTGATCCGAGATCATCAGACTGGGAGGATAATGGCTCGCGGGAACGGCAGGGAAAGCATCTCGAGTGAGTTGCATACCCTTGTGGGCGTTGAATTCACCGAGGAAGTCATTCACATCGGCGCAGAGGTCAGAAGCAACCATGTTGGAGAGAAGAAAGGGCTTGAGGTATGTCGTTCGTCTCACGATGATGAATGACAGCAAGTGCAGGCACACGGAAGCGGTACCCGAGTGAGCAGACCAGCTGTGATACCAACAAGACAATGATAAAGTTTGATTCAAGACCACAAGGGTTGGGAAAAAGAAGCTGGCGGGATGAGAATGGGAAAGTCAATCTACTTATTCCCCCCTCTTGCTGCTAACAACGCCGAGCGTCAGCACCAACAAGGCCAATTACGAAAAACCTCGAAACATTTGACAGCTCTTTCTCGACGAACCGTCGGCCGCCGGCCCCCAAAATCGATGAACGGCGACACACCAAAAACGACAGCGAATGCAGTGAAAGACAAGGGTCAACGGACGTGCATCAAGATTATTTGAGTGAACGACCACGGAGGATGATACCTCTACTGGGAAAAGTCAAGCTTGCGTGTGTCACCATACCCAACTCGGTGGTGTCGATGTGGCTAACTCGCCCGGACAGTATGGAGGGATGCGTCACAAGACACTACACGAAGCTTCTTTTGGGATACAAGGGGGGGAGGATACCAGAGCGGGGGAGTCCAAGAGACCCTGAAAAAGTGAGAGGGTTGAGGCTCAAAATGGGGTCACAGCAAGGATCAGATGCTTCTGTCAATATCGGGGTTTGGTGTGGAATGACCCTACTCTGTTGACGTGGGGTGGTGGTTGTCAGATGGCTTCCTTTTTTGACGAGGTTTGGAGTTGGATGAGTTGGCTGTGAAGGATGCTAATCGACGGATAGAGCTAGACTCGTTCATGACCGGAGAATCGAGACGATATCAATGCCGACCTTGAATCGAGAGTTTCTTTGCCCTCCGAGGTACAGACGAATGCTCGAATTGCGATACCCATCCCACTTCTACTGCACCCTCGGCCCCGAGTCCCCATCGCCAAGCAGGCTACAGCAGATTACATCTTTTCCAACAAGAGCCATCCCGTGAATGCAAAAAGGATGATGCTGCGTTGGCCGTTGTTGCATGGGAATGGATATTGTGGGGAACAGGGCGCCGTCCTCAGCCCTATGGTGGCAACGGGGACATGCAATGCCAATCCATTGCCAGACAGAGAAGGTGTCTGTGCAACGGTAGACGGACATGCCGAACGGTGCGGTGGTACAGTTGATGGAGGATATTCAGGGTTAGACCAATTGAATCTCATACGGTCATGATATGATGTCGTAATCTTAGCTATGTGATGATGCAAATGGCCAATTCGAGTCATGTCTTGTAATTCGTGGATATCATCTGTATCCAACTCTTGATAAATCTGTATATCAGTTGTGAATTTAAATCACAACATCTGGGGTATAAGTAAATCCATCTCAAGAACTCATCCGTCCTGATGGAAAGCTGTATCCGGTTTCTCCATGACAGGAGATATCAACCTTTTAAAGTAAAGCAGCCGACGAGGAGCTCATGTGATCCAACATGATGTCCTACTCAGGGCTACACAGAACCCTCGCCTTGACTATGATGTTCCGGAACTGCAGGTGTCCGCCATTCTCGTCACCGTGCTTGATCACGCCGGGGAATGCGACACAGCAAATCTCCCTCTCTGCCAATGCTTCTTCATCCTCGCCGCCTAGATCTTCCATCGTCTCGGGTTCAAACATGACCCGTTGGTGAGGTAGCACCGCTGGCATATGCACTCGAAGCACTGCTTTTTGGACCACGAGTAGGCGTGCCAGCTCAATAGAGTTGTTTACAAGGACACGTAGTCCGCTGTCACGCGCTTCAGATGGTGATGTGCCACATAGGGCATCCAAGATGCGTGTGATTCGGGCGAGTACAGCTTCAGTGAGTGATGAAATCGACTCATCAAGAACTGTCGAATCTCGTCGAAGCAAAGCAAGGGTTGATGATCGCCATTGGTTAATAGCTTCATCAGAAGATGCTAAACAAGTAAGCATTGAGCTCCGAGATCTACAGGGGGACGAACCGTATGAGTATAGCATCTTCTCCATCTGTCGAAACTGCTGAGTCTGTTCACTCGAGAGACCGACAAAGTAGGCGTCAAACACCATCTCGACCAAGATCCTCGATACGATGGACTGCAAGAGGTGTACCTTGGCTGTTGATGCCAGGTCTTCGTACATGGGCACGAGGTCATTAATCTCGGCCAGCGTCGCCTCGTCCAGCTCGTCCAGCCCTGCTAGGAGTTAGCAAGCTATTCATGCCAGCAACAGCAAACGTCACTCACTTATCTTGGCTTTTCGAAAGTTGACAATGACCCAATTTTGCAGGCCATTGCCCAACCTTGCCATCCCATCCCCGAAAACCTCATCGCAAGTTTGTCCGTCTGTTCGTGTGCTGTTGCTCACCCACTCCTTCAGCCCTCTTACCTGTCCCCTCAACCCCCGAATCTCATTATCTCGTTCCTTGAGCTCTCGGCGTAAAACCTCCCATCCCTCGCGGAGCTCTTCTCGCTCGCCCTCCCTCACTTCGACCTCGGCGCGTAGCAACCGCAGCTCCGTGTCGGTTCGCAGGAACTGTTGGTTGAGCGCACTGTGCTTGGCCTGCCAAAAGGTGGCCGTCTCGCTCTCGTTCTGGCTCAACTTGTCCAGCTCGCGGTGGAACTCGCGCTCCATAATGCCCATTTCTTTTTCCAAGTATGCAATCCTTTCGTCCTTGTCCTTGAGGGCGGCCTCAAGCTCACGCTCTCTTTCCTTCTTCTCCTTCTTCTCCCTTCGTTCCTTGCGCTCTTTCTCGCGGTCTTTATCCTTGATACTACCGCTCCTCGTAGCAGTAGCATCCTTCTCTTTGCGTTCCGTCAGCGGCGCACCGCCCTCGATGTTCTCTTCAGGGCTCGAGACGGTGTTTGCTGCCATGGCGGCTCGTGGAGGGAGGGCGGGCATGCTGTTTCGGTTGGGATTCGATACGCCGGTGCGCAGGGTGTGGGCGGAAGAGTTGCCGGGCCCAGGACGGCGTTTCTCAGAGGTGTTCATGGTCGTGAGGAGGCGGAGCTGCGGAGGGGATGACTAGGCTTATGACGGACGGTGGAGGATGGTCAAGTCGTTCTGGTGGCTGAGTCGGAGGCCAGACGAAGCTGGTTCCGCATGGTTGCAGTCGTCAAGTACACGTAGGTAGTGGAAACAATTGTATGAAGGAAGGATAAAACAATCCAGGGGTTATGAGACGTTGACGGGGATGCGCCGTTGATGACGTCCGCTGTTGAGTCGGTGCCTGGGGAGCTGGAGCGTAGTCAAATCATCACGTAACCTCCGTCAGACACTGAAGGCCCCCGGAACCCCGGGGATTTTAGCGGCCGTGGCGGGGCATGTAAGCGTTCCCGCCGGCCTATCTCCCGCTCTCATGGACGAATTTGCGATACATTGCAACGTTGAAAGAATTATGCGCATTATTCAAGTTGGAGGGTGTTGCTTCCAAAGGACTAGCATTTAATTGAACTCACTTTTGATCAAAATATCGGCCAATCGATATCAGATCAATTCCTTGCTGCCTTGCTGCGGCCAATCTTACGCGCAACCACAACTAGGCTCCCGTGATATGGAAATCGTAACGAGATGAAAAATCAAAAGGCTCATGTGTCTTCAACACCATCGTGGCTAGATGCTGATAAATCCAATCTCGGATATGCCTCTAAAGCCGCCAGGCTACAGCTTAAAACTCGACCTCGGCCTCAACCTCGTACGCCTCGTCATCCGTCCCCTCAATCTTCTTTGCGCCCATCCGGCACAGCGTCACCTTTTCGAGAGGCATATTCTCCATCCAGACGTAGTCGTCGTACCGACTGACCATGTCCTGCGCGTCAATCGTCAGCTTCTCGCGTCTCCGTCCCCGCCCATTCTTGATGTAGATGGTGTTGATGACAGTTGCGTGGAGCAGCAGCGGACGGCTGTCCTCGGCCATGAGCCCGGCCTCCTGAAACGTGTTCTTTATCTGCTCGCAGAACTTGTAGAGTATTCCCTCCGTATCAACGGGGGGTGCGTATAGGACTGAAGTCTTGGATGGTGTTTGCATAGCGTGTAAGCCTTGAAGTGTTATAGAAAGCGGTCCCTCTCTGGCAGTAGAGCTGTTCTCTGCAGAAGCAAGGCCCATTTGGACAGCTCTACTCTGTAGAAAGGCTTTCCTCGCATTGGAAAGCATATCTCGTAGTCGTAGGCTTTTCAAGACCTCTGTAGCTTGTTCGATGCCATCATCCTTCAAGCTCATGACACCCAGGGTCAAATGCATCGTGCCTGGAGGGCGAACCGCATCAGGCGGCACCCCGAAACTCATGGGACTGGTGACATCTGCCTCGAAAGCAGCCAGGCTCCTGTAAAGCTGCGGACCTGCCAGGGGTATACACACAAAGTGTGTTGGAGCTGCCCTAGCTGGTTTGGGCGGCATTGTTAAACGGCTCGATCAAGGGAGTGGCGTTTTGTTCCCTCCGAGAAAGGCTTCTGAGATGGCTCAGGGAACGGGCTGATTGACCTTGAACCAAGTTTGTATACCCGTTACTCTGGATGAGATTGAGGATGTGAAAGAGAGAGATCGAGTCTTCAGTTGTGCGAGTGTAGTCTAGGCTTGTCTGCCTATATGTGCCAGCCTCAAAGCTCCGAGGCTCCTGTTTAGCTTGGGATGACGTTAGATAAATGAGAGAGAACAGAAAAAGTCCCGCATCTAACGATAGAAACCTGAAAGTATCTACCCCTCGATAGCAGGTATAGAATATCCTTTGATGTAACTGACATGTGGTTCCGCAAGCCAAAGCCCTTCACGGGACAATCGTCATAGGAGACACTAGAAATGTATATTGACGTACCTTCCACGTATTTGATGCTGTAAAACGGAACTCGAGAGTCGCACACGCCGTATCCGGTGTCGGTTCGTGTCACGCTGACCGTTGGGATGATGTCAGGTCTTGGTGTTGTGAAACGCTGCCCAATTCGTCCACCGTTGGTAAGCTGTCAGGGAGCCTACCCCACAATTACTTGGGCTTGGGCTTTGAGACCGTTCAGCAAC